TCTTCTTCTTCTTCTTCTTCTTCTTCTTCTTCTTCTTCTTCTTCTTCTTCTTCTTCTTCTTCTTCTTCTTCTATCTCACGAGGTCAATTCATCTGCCTCGCTGCTATACCACCATTGGAGGGGGGAAAAGAAAAAAAAAAGGGAAAAAATAGAAAATGTGTTCGTACCGTACTCATTGATTTCTACAGTGCAGCTTAGCGTGCTTTTATAGACTTCATAACTTCTAGTATATGTATCAAACTCTTTTTCGGGTTGATTATGACTGTTCAATCTTTCATTTCATTTTACACATCAGTATTTTGTGTTCAACAAAATACTTGTTCACCCCTCGCTCGGCATTCTCTAAGTAATCCGGACCTCTTTGAAAGAAGTTTGGTGACCCCTCATGTTGACCATGCCCTCGCCCTTTTCGTAGCCTTCTCTTCTATTGCTTCTTCTCTAACCACAATTGTTGTGCGTGCTTGCGTGCTTGCGTGCGTGCGAGCGAACGTGCGTGCGTGTGTGTATGCGTGCGTGCCCAGCTTATGTTAAATATCCTGTGTGCTGCACCAATGTATATAATTGCCGAGCCATATGTTAAAATGTGTGAGATGTATGGGCCAACTAAAGGCCTTTCAAATCAATAAATCATTTTGAAACCTGAAATTTGAAATCTCTACCCACAACACTCCCCTGATCTTGCACCACTCAACATAAAACTCCTACGAAGTTTTACGAATAAAAGCAAATCCAGTGCGAAAGTACGATTCATCTGTGCCTTTCACTTTCGCTTCACTTTCACGATATTTGCTTATCTTTCTTTCTATTTCAAAACGCTGATTATAAATTCTGTGTTCAATAAACAAGAACAAATATGCCAACTTACTTTCACTTAATGTTTGATAGACACAAATCATATTGATCGAGTAAGTTCTTTCCTACGTCTTCTGTTCAAATATGTATTTAGATAAACTGAATAGAAGTCCTATCTTCTTACACGGGAGGGAAGCCACTTCAAACTTCAAGCTCACATTAACCCTATCCGTACGTTGTGTTTTACTATCGTATCCATACGACATGGGGAACTCTGAGCCACCACTTTCCAAAGAGGAAATTTACTGGTTAACCCGATCCGTACGCTTTGCATAGCAGTCTGTCAAAATGATTTTTTGAGAAATATTGAAAGTTTCAAAGCCATCTTCGAACTAGATCTAGAAGTACTCTAAAAATGTGAAGAATATAACCCCGGGGTACAAAATGACCCCGGGGGGGGGGTACGGGTAGGGTTAACTTGTGGGATAAAATGGCGGTATACGTATTTGGATCGATATAACAGAGAGGTCTGAAGTGTGCTCGAGTTCGCGAGGTACAAGTATTTTGTTCAAAACATTGTTCCCAAAGCCCAAAGCACCCAATGATCAGGTATGTCTACCTTCTCTTTGGGAACAAAGCACCCAATGATCAGGTATGTCTACCTTCTCAAGCGTAATTAAAAAAAAAAAAAAATTCTCCTTCCACAAAATTATTGAAAAACTCCTGTTATAACTTTAAAAACTGTTTCATGTGAGCATTATAAATCTCTTACACCACAACTAATGAAAATATCATTCAGGAGGCGGGCTGCTTTGAATCCGCCTGCGAAGCAGACTGGGATATGGCTTTCTTGCAGAAAGACGTGGATACTGCATTCTTATTTTAAAAAAGCACACAAAGACAATGACAATCTTTATTCATCTCGAAGGGAAAAATTTGTCTTGGCCGTTAACAATGGCAGTAGAAGTTACAAAGCTTTGATGCACTCCCGCTTACGCACAACAAGACAGGACATTACTAAATGTCTCACGTGCTGAAACAACCCGTTCCGTAAAACTCTCTCTCTCTCTCTC